GCGGCACGGATGTGGCCATTTCTGGAGACGCCCTGTGGTAGCGTCCGCGTCGCGAGTGCTACCGTGCAGCAGGTCCCGCCAGCCCTTCAGGGCGTAGATGGTGTGAACGAGATTCTCATTTCCCAAGCCCCTCTTGCCTTCGGGGAAGGGTTTCCCCCCACTCCCTGAGGTCTTTTTGGGGCGCTCCGCGATGTGTCAACGGGGTCCGTTTTCGCCCAAGATGGCTCCACCGATGCTCCAAGATGGCCCCCCCAAATGACTCAAGATAGCCGAAGATGGTTCCAAGATGGCTTCCGACATGCCTCCAAGAGGCCCCGAGAGGACCAGACGACGGCTCCAAGTGCGATCGGAGCCCCCCTCAAGACCTCCCCAAGGGGCCATCAACCCTTCGCCCAAGAGCGGGTTACACAACGGCTGGGGTGCCACTGAGTCCGCCAGCTTGGCCGACTTCGGTCCGACGTTTGGCCGCGTGGGCGTTCCCAAAAGGCAGGGAGGCGGCAGCGACACTCCGGGCGACGCCGCTGCTCTCCGTGGGCGAACCCTGGCAGCGCCACGCGAAATACCGCAAATATCAGCAACCACTTTCACAAGCAAGTTGGGCGCCCGAGTTATCCGGGGTAACTCGGGTCCGGGGTAACTCGGGTTTGGATTCCCGAAAAAGGAACCCGAGTTATCCCTGACCCGAGTTACCCCTGATGATTCGGGGCTCTGGACGCCCGAGTTATCCGGGGTAACTCGGGTCCGGGGTAACTCGGGTTTGGATTCCCGAAAAACGAACCCGAGTTATCCCTGACCCGAGTTACCCCTGATGATTCGGGGCTCTGAAGCAAGTCCTTTCGAAACACGAGGGCACCGCCCAACACGCACGCATGGGCCGCGAACGCCAACTCCGGCTGCCTCACGCCAGCCAGATCGAGGCAGACCGGGCGGCGCGCCGACGGCACGCGCGGAGGCCCCCGGCCGCGCCATCTCGGGCCACGTCCACGTCACAGAAACGCCGCGCTGCACAAGCACATCTGTTGGCAGGTCGGCGCGGGCCCCGTGAATCGGCTGGCTGGGCCCCCTGTAATGCCGCGGGTGATGCTCTCATTTGCTCCTGTCGCGCTTCGCGCGTCAGGGCGGTGGGTCCACCGCCGATTCCAGACATCCGCGCGGGCCTCCGAACATGTATGTTTTACGTAGTGTTTTGTTTCTGCCAATTAAGGCGAGCAGACCGAAAGTGAGAACGTCGCACGCGAGCGCGTAGTCTAAATCATCGCCCATCGGAGGAACGGGGCGGAGGGGAAGGGATAGTACGAGACACGGGGCATTATGATCGTCGCGGGATGGACGGAGCGATAGTGTGAACGTCCGCCCAAATCGACGCTGACCGACAGCTCGCATCGCGGGCGCCTTGTGCCGAACACAGCCAAGTACGTCGACCGCTATCGGTTTAAGATGCCAGCGCCGTCACTGTCAACTAAAACAACTATCATCACCAAGAGGTGCACCCCCCACGCCTTGTAGAGTTGAAGTCGTTGCCCCTTCCGCTTCTCTGTCCATGTATCGCACATTGGCAACCAGAAGGGTTGGTTTAGACAAGAGAGCCCTTGTGTTTTTAGGTCAACGCCGCCTGCCATGTTGGCAATCACGAGACCTAAAACGTAAACCAGCAAACGCTGAACGTCGTTTCCACACGTGTTTTCTGAGAAAAAACCCTGAACTGGAACAAGGACTTCCTGATCTGACACTAGCGCTAATCCATATTAGCGCAGTAAGTAGACACACCTGTTCAGGAAGTATGTTTGGGTCGGTTCCTATATTGCGTTTCCACAACATGGGGGTAATGGATATACACAGTCCATCATCAGGTCGGAACCGCGTTTCGGGGAACATTGTCGAGGTGTGGTGGGTTCGGAACGGGCCTTCCGGAGGCGTGTTTTAGCTCCCCGTGTGTCTGTGAATATATTGGGGTGTCCTGGGGTCCCGCTTCTGGGCGTTTCGGAGAGTGTCGTGATGATCGTGATCAGCATCTAGATCGTCACCATCATCCTTCTCATCATAACAAAATACTTGCAAATCATAAGCATCATGATCACCATCATCAGCAGCAGCATTACTATCATCACCGTGATCATCATGATGATCATGGTCACCATCATCGCAAGATTGATCATGATCATGATCATGATAATGATCATGATCACCACCATGCTAACACTCGCCATATTCACCCTGATCATGATGGGCATCGTCATCACCATCACCACAACTAACACCGCGATCATCAATCCATCAACATCATCACTACCACCATCATCACCACCATCCGAATCTTCATGACCAACCGAACCATCAACATCATCCACGTCAGCATCACCATCATTATCATCATTCCCATCGCCACCACCATCATCAGCATCATCATCAGTGTCATGATTTTCTTCGTCACCAACAACATTGCCACCATGAACATCGCCACTACCAACACCACCATCATCATCGTCATAATATTGATCATCATCCTCATCCGAATCATCATGATCACTCACTCCCGTCAGCATCAGCATCAACGCCGCTACGCTCAACGCGCACATCGTCTCTGTCATCGTCTTTCCCATACTTCTCCTTATCATCACCAGATCAAACATCGACACCGTCATCGTCATCGTCGGCCCGATGTTCCCGGAGAGGCCTCCGGGGACATCCGGCCGACTACGCGCCTTGGGTAGCCTTGGGGGGTTGGGGGGGACGGACTCCTGGAATCCCACAAGTCCTCTGGGCGTAAGTGGTGGACGGGTAGGTCGGGCAGGTCCTCCAACCAAAAAAAAACCGACAGACAAAAATCGAAAGATCGTCCCCGGACCATTCTTAGTACGATTTTCAAATATCCCTCATTGTATAGGGAAACTCCCGACGTAAGTCTAGGGCGGTTTGGTTTCCAACTCCTTTTCCCCCCCTTCGGTGAGGGGTTTACCCTTTGGTCGGGCATGCTCCCGCACAGGCGCATCTTCGACGAAAAATTATAAATACATCAAACACACTCAGACGTGACTACTTTAATTCTGGAAAAATCGTCCCCTGACTATTTTTGATTATTTTTGAATATTCCTCCTATAGAGGAACAGGCCCGAGTTAAGTTTACCCCCCCCCCCCTGCCCCCGACCCTGGACCTGGAGAGGGTGGGGTTCGCGAGGCTTTCGAGCGTCCAGGAAAGCCCAAGATGACCTCCACGAGGGAGTCGGAGACGACAAGACCTCCAAGATGGCCGACCCACTTTGTTTGATCGATCTCGTCCAAGATGGTTCCAAGAGCGCTCCCAAGGCTCCCAAGAGCGCCTCAAGAGGGCCCCAACAAGCGCCCACGAGGCCCCAAGAGGCGCCCAAGAGGCCTCCAAGACGAGGCTGCCAAGAGACACCCGAGAGGCCCCAAGAAGCTCCCCGAGGCACCCAAGACGCTCCAAGAGTGTTCCGGGACCGCCAAGAGGCCCCCAAGGACTCCAAGAGGCCTCCAAAAAGCTCCCAACAGACATCCGAAGAGACTCTGAGTGGCAACTCGCCTGGGCACTGTCTCTGGATAGGCTGGTGGGGATTTCTGTCGCTCGCGAGCGACGCAGATGGCTGCGCGCCGTCCAAGGGGCCGAAAGCAAGAGTCAAGCACAGGGCAGCAGCCGCCGGCGACACGCGGAAAGATGAACAGGCGAAGCGCAGCGGCGACGCGGCAGAGGCGGGAGCAAAGACAACAGAGGAAGAGGGCGAAGGAGACGACAGAGGAAGAAGGCGAATGATGATAAACAAGAAGACAAAGGGGAGAAGACGAACGCGCAGGAGGTCGGGCTCAGGCGACGAAGAACAGGAAGTACCTTGCCGAAGAGCAGGAACTTGGAATACAAGGGAGGGCGACGTACAAACCAGCAGGCCATCTCCAGGGCCATACGATAAGCCACATGGCAGGCACATTCTCCACCAGGGGAAAAAGCACGCGCCAGGAGCGACGTGAAGACGGGCCAATAGGGTAGCCCAGTAGCGACAGGGACGAATCAGCCCGGAAGGGGGATGGGCGTAAGCTGGTGGGGATACGCGAAGCGACAAGAATTTGTTTGAAGCTTCTCTCGGGGCCCTCTTCTGTACTTTTGGAGGCCCTATGGCCGTCTGGAGGGCATCTGGAGGTCTGAGAGGCGGGGACGACGTGCTGGATGTAGTCTCCTTCCTGCATAACCCTGAAAGCCGCGTTGCGAACTCGATGGCCAAGTCGCGCCGCCTTGTACTGGCGGGAACCATCCCAGCAAACGGAGTAAGATGGGATTGCGGAAGTCGCGCGCGAGAAGACGGATGTCCGAATAGACACGGCAACAGGAGTCTCGAAGAGCTCCATCTGGAGTTGCCTTGGGCACGCAGGACGGCCCCGAACCCCCTCCGAGACAGCCCAGAGAGGCCCCCCGGCGGCCCCAGGGAGCTCCAAGACAGCCCCAGGCCCCAGACCCGCGGCGGCGACCACCGCCGAGACAGACGGCCGCGAGGGGCCGAGGGCTCCGGGTGCGACCGACGGCGGCCGGGAGAACGCCAGGACGGCGGGAGAACGCCAGGACGGGGGGGGGGGGGGGGGGGGCGAGAGCTCTGGGGCCCGACCGACGAAGCAAGGGAGACAGGGCCGAGCGCTCCTGAGGCAGGAGGAGACGACCAGGCCTCCCTCGCCCCTCGCCCGAGGCTCCAGACCCGCGGCAGCGACCACCGCCAAGACAGACGGCCGCGACTGGCCGAGAGCTCCGGTGCGACCGACGGCGGCCGGGAGAACGCCAGGACGGCGGGGGGGGGGCGAGAGCTGGGGCGACCGACGAAGCAAGGGAGACAGGGCCGAGAGCTCCTGAAGCAGGAGGAGACGACTATAGGGAGGCACCAACTATACACCAACACCGATCCTGGCCAGGATCACCCTGGGCCCAGGATCGGTGTATACGCCCTCCTGCCTTGCGCAAGAAAGCATATACACCGATCCTGGGCCCAGGGTGATCCTGGGCCAGG